GTTAAGGAAAATGAATCAGTCAGAGGTTAAGTGACCTCCCAAAGGTCATATTGCTGTAAGAATCTGAGGCCAGATTTAAACTCAGGTCTTCCTGACTCCAGGTCCAATTTGTATCCAGTGTACCACCTAGCTGTCTAAGAGAGAAGGTGGATTAAGGGAAAAATTAATTGTAAGAAAAACAAACTCTAGGGATGTGCAAAATTATTTATGTCTCCTTTTGTAGTGGCAAAGAATGGAGATCTAAAGGGGCGGTCTTTAATTGGGAATGTCTGGACAAGTTATGTAATATAATACCATTGCACTGTAAGAAATGATGAAAGGGATAGTGTCAGTGAAACATGGGAAGCCTTGTATGAACTGGTACAAAGTGAAGTGAGCAGAAGGAGAGCAATTTATACATGACAACAATATGGTAAAGAGAAACAACTCTGAAAGACATAGGAGCCTGATTAGCATAATGACCAACCATTGTTCTCAAGGGGTCATGATGAAATATACTACCACATCCTGATAGAGAGGTATAGGACTTGGAGTGCAGAAGGACACTTGTATACCTACATGTATACATATATACATACATACACATATATTTGTTTTTGTTTTTCTCAATTAGGGGGCTGGGATGGAGAGAAGGGAAATTTTTATTGATTGAAAAAATGATATTCGATTTAATTTTTTAAAACTATCTTTGGAGCTAGGAAATGATAGCCCCATTGATTAGGTAAGGTGATATGATGTTAATAGGTGACAGAGAAAGCAGAAGTACTAAACTAATTTGCTTTGGTCTTCTACAACAAAGAGAATGGTTTTCAAGCTGAAAAGTAAAACAAACAGCAATCCATTCAACAATAGTTAAATACTTTGCCAAGTGTGATTATTGAACCAGCTGCAAAAACCCTTAATAATACTTTCAACTAGTCTGTATTTCACCTATGAGGGTAAAATCTAAAGTACCTGCCTGTTGCTCAATCTAACCCAGGCACAGGGATGAAAATCAGTGGTGAGATGCTGAACAACTTGGGGGAAAACTGGTGCCAAAACCACATTAATATATTTGACATAATTGCTGACCCCATCCCACCTGTTGGTAAAGTTACATAGTTTAGGAAAAAGAAATTAAGAAAATTCATCTCTGATACTAGAGTTTTAGCCAAAATCCTGACTGATCAGAAAATTTAAATATATGAAATAAAATGACTGTAGTATTGAAACTAAAAGGATGCCAAGAATGGACCCTGACCTGCTAAAATATATTGTGTATGTGTGACTAGCTAGTTTGTTAATGGAGAAGCCTCTGGACTTTGACCAAGTTAAAAGCAATTGGATACAAAGGACCATAAGATTTAGATATGGAAGGGACCTTTAAAATCATGGATTTCAAGTCTCCCATGTGAAGCCTCTAGGGGTGAAGTCATTTGTCCAAGGTAGTAAGTACAGCATCAGAAATTGAATTCAGGTCCTCTGACTAAATTGCTCTTCCCCCTGTATGAGGCTGTTTCATCTTCTGTTTCATCTGAAACAATTTAATTTAGTTTATCAGACCTTTTCTACCCTATCTGGTAATTTTGTACAGGAGATTTTCAGCTAAGTACAGATTAGACCAGATGGCCTCTGAGGTCTCATTTATGTCTTAGGTTTTATAGTTCTCTTTAGATTGGTGAAAAGAAGATTAAGGGGAGACATATCTTCAAATGGCATATCACAACTCCCACTTTCTTATTGAAGGTTTACAAGCACTTTCCTCACAATTGTTGTCAGCAAGTTGGTGAAAGGATTATCTGCCTTTGAAAGGTGAGGATTGTGAAGAACAAGGGGTCCAGGGCCACCAAGTCACAGTATTCCATATTCTTGGCCTGAGCTCTGGGCTTCTGACTCCAAGACAATGCTTCTGCCATTCTCAGCTGTAGAAAGGAAAGTAGATTTGTTGCTATGAATGACTTAACTAGCACCAATCAGTGGGAATTACAGTCAGATTTTGATTCAGTAAAAGGAAGAACATTTTGAAGAATAGAGCTGTCCAGTGGTGGAGCAGTTATCCCAGATGTCTAGATAGGTTCCCTTTACTGGAGGTACTTTCAGGTTGAGTGGTCACTTGTCAGGGATTCCATAAAGAGGATTATTGTTTGAGTAGGAGTTTGGATTAGATAATTTCCCATTCTCAAATTTAATGATCCTATGTGCACCCTGGGAAAATGTGTTCAAGTTTGGAAGATAGCTTTAAAGGTTAGGGTTTCTTACAAACCAATGCTAATGAAGTAGGATGAACTGTTTCCTCCCTAGATTAAAGATGATGAAACCACCTGTCAGCCAGAGCAGGAAACTTGACCTTCAAAGTCCACTAGTGGAAAGTCTCCTAAGAAACCACTCGGCTTGCTAGCATTATTGTTGTTATTGTCACTATAATGTTGGTGTTTTTAATTCTAAAATTCACATGTTCTTTCCAGTGCCCTAAGTAATGTGATTTCCAATATCACGAAGTCATAATAGCAAATATAGGTTTCAGCCAACAAGGGTTCTAAGTACTCTGTGTATAGCCCTAAAAGTGGGTATCCCCCAGGTCCCTATCCAGGGCCCTCTCCTCTTTCCTCTTTATACTATTTTACTTGGCAATCTCATCAGCAACCATGGATTCAATGATCATAGCAGTGCTGATGTTTCTTATTACCTACCCATAACCTTCAGAATCACATCTCCAACTGCCTATTGGACATCTCAAACTGAATGTCCTATGGGTATCTCAAACTCAACATGTCCAAAACTAAACTCATTTGCTTTGAACCAAACTCTTCCTATTTCCCAAACTTCCCTATTGCTGTCAAGAGTACCACCATCCTCCAAGTCTCTCAGGTCTACAATCTAGGTCATCCTTGAATTCTCATTCTCTCTTACCCACACCCTGATTTATTTTGTTGCCCAGTCCTGTCAATTTTGTCGGGACTTTGAAACCTCTCTTGCCTGCTTCTTTTTATCTCCTTTGACACTGCCACCATTCTGGTATAGGCCCTTATCAACTCATGCCTTGATTATTGGAATAACCTGCTAGTTGGTCTCCTTGCCTCGGGTCTTTCCCCATTCCAGTCCATCCTCCCACTTAGTTGTCAAATTAATCTTCCGAAAACATATATCTGACCATGTCACCTCCTTTTTCAATAAATTCTAATGACTTTCTATCACTTTTAGGATCAAATGTAAAATCCTTTGTTTGGCATAAAAAACCTTTCAAAACCTGGCTCCCTCCTACCTGTTCAGTTTTCTTATACTTTACTCCTCTCCCACATATCCAGTGACACTTCCCTGGTGCTTCTTGGGGGTGTTCAGCAGGACTAGCACCTCTGGTATTAGGATTTGTTGAACCCTTTTCAGGGCTGCTCAACTACCTTTGGTGTCTACCTGTCACCCAACTCTCACTCATGGCTCCAAGAAGCTATAGCATGCATGGTGGCTCACCCCAGTAAAAACCATCTCAGCAGACAGTCTAAACCCGGTTGAGGGTAACCAACAGGCCTTAAATCCATCTGTGAGTTAGGGGGATGTCTACCTCAAACATCTGAAGCATGTGAAAACTTCCTCCAGCAGAATAGGCAGGTGAGAACAATTTGTTCCAAGGTCCATGAAAGTGGCTGAAGTAGACACTGTGGAGTGCTTAGAACTTGGTCAGATAGTGAAGATGCCAAGGCCATCCACTACTTCCTGGGCCATGGCCAGTCAACCTGACTTTTGTCTTGCTACTGGATTTCTATAACTCTGGAAGAGAGAGTGAGGCTGATGATTTTATGCAACTCTGCCTCACTTAAATCCAATTTACTCGAAAGTCAAGACATCACCCTGTGATATCAGTGGACGTCCTTGAAAATGAAAGATTAACCTCAATGACTGTGCTGGTTACATCTATTTGTACATTTTCTCTTTTCTTGGATTTTTTAATTACACAATGAACCTGGGCTCTGACATTCTTTCATTTGGTGATTCCAATTGAGGAGCATTTCAGCAGTAATTTTAAAAATCTAGCATCTCTTTTTTCTCAGATTTTTAGACTTACTTCGTGCAATATTTTCGTGGATTAAATATTATCATCACATACTTGGGATTGGGGGTTAGAAAATTTCCATCTCTATGACCCAAGGTAATAGGTCAAAAAATCAATCAACATGTATTTATTAAGTGTCTACTATATGTCAGGCACTGTGTTAGGTGCTGGAGATAATAGGACAAGTAATGAAACAATCCTTCCTTGCAATGAGTTTACATTTTCATGAGGAACACAACAAATACATATAAAAGTTGATATAGTATAAATAGAAAGTGACTAAATATAAACGTATACAAAATAGATAAATGCAAAGTAGTTCAGGAGGGAGCGCACTAGCATTTGGAGGTCTGTGCAATCTAGATTCATTGTTTCAAAGTTCTACTTCAGGTTACATATAAAAATATTTTATCAGAGACATTAGCACAAGGCAGTCATTGAACCCAATTCTTTGCAACTCAATGCCAACAGTTATGATACTTCTATTGTTTGTGAGTTATGGGAATGGCACCCTTTCAAATATTTCATGATGTTAATTTCCAGGAGTTTCAAATATTCTTGTGCAAATAGAGTGCAGGAATGTCAATAGAAATCCTGGATCTGAGGTGAATAGCATTTTGGTGTTACAGTAGAAATCTGTTAGCTGGGGCTATAGGTAACAGGTTTTTTAATAGGCTGTGATGCAATTCTTAATGGAGAAGATTTAATTGTAAAAGATAGCCTGCTTCTAATGGAAACTTGACCCTGCGCTATTCTATTGCTGAATGAATTAAAAGGTTTACATAAGACTACATTGTTGGGGTTCTTGGGGAAGGGAATAAAAGTGAAACAATACCCACCACCTTGAAAACATTCCACTTAGGTTGTTTGTTTTCCCTCCTTCTACAAAGCAGCAGATCTCACAGAAATAAATGTCACTTATTCAATTCCATTTTAAATACACTTAAAATGAACTTACTCTTTCTGCTTTCAGGGGTTAAACATCTGAAAAACCAGAATGACTCAGCATTCCCAGAGGAAGAAGAAGGAGTAAATGAAAGAGAAGACCAGTGTGAACACTAGTCGCAGAAATGAGGCAAGAAAGGTTCTTGTGAATAACTGAACTGCTAACCTTTCCGAATATCCCCTGAAACTCCACTGCTTGGCTTCTGGAAGAGTCAGCCATCTTGGCACTCCTTAATCTCTCAGTAGTGTGCCTTCAGGGATGCACTCCACTGGATTCTAGCACCACGTGCATCTTCTTCCATAGCACTTATCACCCAGGAATAAACATTTATTTTACAGTAATCTTTCTTTGTAATGATTTAGAAATGCTATTTGCAAACATGTTAGCAATCTAACTTTAATATTGCCAGGGTTTAATTCCCAATGTCTTTCTGTTATTATTTGCATTAAAGGTCAACTGTAAATAGTACCCTTCTAAAGCTACAAAATAAATACAAAATGCCTTTAGACATGGTCATGTGTCTGAGTCAAATCTGGAGAAAAATGCTTAGTGAAAGGTGAACATCTAAGTCAGTCACCACATTTATCACATTTAAGTATACAATGTAGGATTTAGCATATGCCCCAGAATGATTATGCTGGCTCTGGTGAATCATAAGACCACACTATATTAAGCTCTTGACACTCCATATAACTACTTACTTATTTCTCTATGACTGGACTTTAATGGTATTTAAAATGAACTAGGTTTCTCATTTCTCGAGCTCAGAAAAGTTCTTTTTCTCAGTCTCTCACTTTCCTGATCAAAACAAAACACAATGATTTAAACAAAAAGTCTCTGGGTCCAAAAAAGAAATTTATTTATGTTTTGCTGAAAATATATCACCACTGTACTTATTTATATGATTTTCATTTTCTCAGGATCATCAATATTATGTATTTCCTTAACCTTAATATTTTAAAAATGTCATTTGCTCCATGAGACTATGTATCCCTCAAACCCATTTTTTCTTATTTAAAATGGTATCATCATCTGATAACTACTAACATGTTAAGTAGGCATTCTCCACCAAATTTTAAATGCAATCTCTACATTATAAAATCTTGTGTGGGAACCAGCATGGGTGGATCACCACAGTGGTAGTCTTAGTGAAATTAGTAATTTTATGGGTATATAAGAATGAGTAGTTTTCCTTCAGACAATAATTTTTTTTCTGATTTTCAAAAGCTGGAACTTCTACTACACAAGGAAACTTTGAGTTGGAAGAAGGAGAAGATTTTTTTTTTAATTACAGCTAATTTAACTGTGGAATGACCATGTTCAAATCCCACACATTTTAACACCTGACTTGAGAGCATTGCAGTAGGTACTGTGGATACAAAGATAAAAGTGTAAGGTTCTTGCCCTCAAGGAGTTCACAGTCTGTCTGTGTGTATGTGTGTGTGTGTGTGTGTGCACATGCGCACAAGTGTATATGTGTGTGTGTGCTATACATGCATGACTGTAACTATAATAAAAGATAATTTGAGGAGAGAGGGAGACTTTTAATTGAGTGATGAGGAAAACCTTCATGTAGTAAGTGGCAACTAAGTGATCCTTGAAGAAGTTAGGAATTCTACAGGGTAGAGAGAGTCTTGAAGTTACTAGGAATATCCTATGCATAGTTACAGAGGCAAAAGACAACAATCATGTTGGAGAATAATAGGTAGTAGATTAACTCATCTGGAATGTGGAGGTTTTTTAAGGGGAGTAACATAGAATATAGAAAGATGGGATGGAGACCTTTAAATGCCAAGCTGAGAAATTTCTATTTTATGCTATACAATGAAGAGTCATTGAAGATTTTTGAGCAGAAGAGAAATATGGTCAAACCTTTATTTTAAGGATATTGTTGTGGTAGTTATGAATGGGCAGCTAGGTGGTGCAGTAGCTAGAGCGCTGGGCCTGGAGTCAGGAAGACTCAGCTTCTCAAGTTCAATTTTGGCCTCAGACACTTACTAGCTGTGTGACCCTGGACAAGTCACTTAACTCTCTTTGCCTTAGTATTCTCATCTGTAAAATGAGCTGGAGAAGGAAATGGCAAACTACTTTAGTATCTTTGCCAAGAAAATCCCAAATGAGGTCATGAAGAGTTGGACAGGACTGAAAAATGACTGAAGAATGACAACAAAAATTGTACTATGATGTGATGAACATAGATAAAAATTAAACACTCCCTATCTTAATGAAGCTTACATTTCTGTGGAGAAAGCAAGTACATATATAAATATATACAAGATGTATAATAAATGACAACAACAAAAACTATGTGAACCACGGATTGATGAGGGCATAGCTTTGGAGTGAGGAGACAATTAGGAAGCTATTAGATATATCTAATATATAGATCTAGAACAATGGTGTCAAACTCAAATAGAAACAAGGGCAAATAAACCATACATAAGAATTCCTGGGAGCTACATATTGATTATAAAATTACACATTAACACCTATATTATTTTGTATTTTTATTTATTTTGTTAAATACTTCCCAATTACATTTTAATCTACTTCCTGCATTGGCTGCATGTTTGACACCTTTGGTCTATGAGAAAGGGGGTAAGGGTTCGAATGAAATGATGAGGGTCATGTGAGCAAGCAACGTTGTGAAGGTAGAAGTAATAAGACTTGGTAACTGATCTGATATGGGGAGAATGAGGGGAAATAGTCAAAGGTGACTTCAAGATTGTAAATATGGGAGACTAGAAGATGGTAACCCTTTTAACAGTAATAGAAATGTTTGAAGATAGGTTGAATTGGGAAGGGGGAAGAGAAATGATACATTTCATTTTGGACATGTTGAATTTGAAATGCTGATTAGACATCCAGATAAACATGGTTATCAGGCAGTTAGTGGTGTGGACTCAACTTCAGAAGAGAAATAAAAAGGGAATATACAGATTTGAGAGTCATCTGTACAGGGATTCTAACAGAATCCATAGGAGAAGAGGAGATCACTGAGAAAGAGTATGAGTAGAGAAGAGAGCCCAGAACTGAGCTGTTGAAGACACCCAAGTGGTAGGATATAGCTGATTAAGCAACGGAGAGTGATAAAGGGAAGTCACAGAGATAGGAGAACCAAGACAGAGTATTGTCATAGAAGCCAAGGGATGTCAGAAATGATTCATTTGGACCCCTACTCTATTCCAATCAGTATTTGTCAGTTTGATATGATTCCATAAGGGTAGGGATTATAAGTTCTATATATTAGACCCCAGAGCTATGAACTACAGATTCTAAGTTCACTTGCTTAATCATAGCAAGCTAACTAGAAGCCCTCTACCCTTGTTTTTCTTGTTATAGTGACCAAACCCAGTGTGGTGGAGTAGACTCAATTACATGTACCTCTCGACCACTCTCTCTTGTCCAACGTGAGCAAGTGACCATCTTGAGACCCTCTTATGGCCACTTAGTCAGTGGAGATGCCCCATGTTTTGTCAACCTGACACCCCTCTGCTAATATACCATTTTTTGTTTATATATCATTTTTGGCCCTCAAACAAGGTCTATCAACCAATGGGATTCTGTATTTTGTGTAGCCCCTCTAGAGTGTTCAGGTATTAAACCAGGTATCAAACTTTATAAAAATAAGGTCCTGGAGGAAGGGAGTATCTCAGATCATGAGGAAGATCTGAGGTCCACTTCATTAGAGGAGACTATAGACCCTTTAATAAAGTGCCATTGGTTCAGAGCTGTGTCTCAGTCTCTTTTATTGTAGGTTGTACAATTGTAAACTCCACAGGAAGAGAAAATATCCAGGAGGAAGGTGTGGTCAACAGAATAAAAAATTCAAGAGAGGTCAGATAGAGTAAGGACTAAAAAAGCTATTGGATTTAACAGTTAAGAGATTGTTGAAGCTCTTAGACAGAAATTTCAATGAAGTAATGAATTCAGGAGAATTGGGAATTAAATGTAAGGGGAGAAAATGAAGGCAATTAACATAAACAATTTGAGTAATTTGGCTACAAATTCCTAGAGAAGTGAGAAGAGGTATAGGATGATAGCTTGAAGGAATGGTGAGAAAAAGATTTTTTTTTAAAGGATGGGAGATCTTAGTATGTTCATGAAAAGGGCCCCCTAAATAAAGCTTTGAGATGGAGATACATTTATTGTGATGGTGACATCTAACATGTGACCATTCCTGTGAGTGGCTGAGTGGAAATGAAGATGTAGGTCATAAGAGTTAGGAAAGTTAATGAATTTAGAGGCTAGAAAGTCCAAGGGGATCTCAAGGTGAATATTAAAGTTGAAGGCAGTGGTTTGGGAGGAAAGGGAGAGTAAGAACCAAGAATTAAACTTCTTGATAAAGGAAGGACAGTGAGGTAAAGCTGGGATGTGATTATGACAAGGAATTGGGGAATGTCAAATAGATGGAATGAATCCCAAAGGAAAAGGTGTTGTCGATTGATGATGGCAAAGGCACAGTATAAAAGAGCAGTGAGGAGTAAAGAAAATTTTTACTTCTCCTTATGACCCAATGTCAAGAGGTCTCAGAGAATTGGCACCCAGTATTGGAGATGGAGATCAGGGTTAGATTATCTTTCAGAGGAAGTCAAGTTACTATTAGCATGAAAATATGGAAAGAATGAGGAAAAGAGATCTACAATGAAAAAGAGGTTTTGTTATATTTTTGACTGTGAAGGAAGATGATTAAGGTTGATAGGGATGAAAGTGCGGTCTTTTTGACTAAGAAAGGGTAATGATTTTTCTTTTTTGCTATCACAAAAAATAGCAATTTTTAATATCAGGTTGAAGGTGATCAGGAGTTAGGAATTTGTCCTTCAGGGGGAAGAACAAGTGGACAAGAACCTCTACTCTCCAGGGGCCTCTCTGTGTGTGTGTGTGTGTGTGTGTGTGTGTGTGTGTGTGTGTGTGTGT